ATATTTGGAACTGGATTGGCCAACTTGTAGGTTTTTCCTTCTGAATAAAAGAATAATTTTTCTACCATTGCTGACATTAGTTTCCCCACATCTCGTATGCCACATAAAAACGACAGATACCTTAATTGATGGATGAGGAGGTATAACAAAATTCTTGGGGAGGGAGAGAGAGAGATTGACGCACGTGCGTACGTCGGAGTACCAACAAATTCAAAGTAGATAAGTTTTTCATTTTGACAAAACCATGCTAATCATTTTTTTTTTAAGACTCGTGGCAGCCAAGTAAACTTTGAACAGAGTAATACAAGATAGACTTAAAAATTAAACTTAATAATGTCAATCATTGAATAGGTAGTGGGTCCCAATAAATATTGGAACCCACAGTAAAATCAATGATTGATATTATCAAATTTATTTTTTAAGTCTATTTTTTAAGTTCATGTAACATTGTTCCTTTGAATATATGCAATTACTTGTAAATTACGCTTTGTGAGTCAACAACACATCCTCAATGAGACTTAAGTCATAATAATTTATAGGTTTAATTACACTTGTAGTCCTTAATGTATATATTTTATGTCATTTTGATCCTCAATCTCTCAATTACATCATATTAAACTCTGATATTTACAATTTGGTTTTAAATGGTACTCACCCATAATGCCGTCATGAATTCTGATGATTTTTGATCATGTGTTGATTATGTGTCTTACTCTGAAGATAAATTAATTTTACTGATATGATCTCTATAGTAAGATACGTGATCAACATGCATGATAAAAAAACTGTCATAATTCATGACGGCGTTATGGGTGAAAACTATTTAAAATTAAATTACAAATATCAGGGATTAATATGATAAAATCAAATGACACAACATGCTTACATTGAGGACCATGGGTATAATAACCCTAATTTATATAATACTTAACCAAGATAACCTGTAAAACATATATCTATACTTGTGTTGTATTGGTTTTTCTCTCTCTTTCCTTCATTTTATTAAATGGAGGGTGTATATTCACACATCTTGTGAAAATTTCTTTTTTTTTTTTTAATTTTTATTTTAATAATCGTCCCAACCCTACGTCGTCCATGCAACTTTTTCAATCAAACACATCCATAACTACTCATTTGTAATGTAACATCAACTTTTTCTATTGAAATTTTATAGTTACATGACTGGAGGTTTTTTTAATTTTCAACGTGAAATACATTGGAAAAGTTTGAGTCATTTATCTGATCCTTGGTCCCGCTAGTAGGTCATCGAAATGGCAATTGATCGGGTTGTTGAGAGGTTAATAATGGTTTAAGTGTAATTAAATTTCAATTCATTTGTATCCTGTTTAATTAATAGATTAAAACATACTGAATCACAATCCATAGTAACTTTTTCTGTTGAAATTTTTTAGTTACATGACCAGAGTTTTTTCTCTTCAACGTGAAATGCATTGGACAAGTTTGAGCCATTTATCTGATCATTGGTCCCACTAGTAGGTCATGGAAATGGCAAGTGATCGAGTTGTTGCCGGGTTAATAATGGTTCAGGTGTAATTAAATTTCAATTAATTTTTATCCCATTTAATTATCAGATTAAAACATGCTAAATCACAAATTTATTCCCAATAACTTGAAAAATAAATTTTAAAAATCCAACGGTCAAGCCCATGCAACCACCATTTCACAACAACTATTATCATGACAAGCACTATCACATCACTATCACCACCACCTCACCACCGCCGCTCATGGAAACGAAGCCATGAACCCTGTTTATTAAAACGACATGCATTAGGGCTATAACACGTGTGTGAAATTTTATAATCTTTTTCATCAGCACTCCAAATGTTTGACCTTACAACCATTTCTTGACGTTGAAAGCTATGAATTGCATGTCAGATGTCACATCCATGGCTGCGTGAATTCTCTTCTAAAATGACGGGAAGGGATATCTATTGTATAGCGCTTAGCTTAACCTAGCAGTAGCTATTATAAAGAAGTCAAACCCATTGCAAAATGAACCGCATCGAATCAAACAATGGATTATCCTGGCAAAATTTATTGGTTCGTATAAAGAGTGTTTGACATAATCTTGAAAAGTTTTACGTGCACTTAGTCGTAAACTTAATTTGATTGATTAAACTATTCAAACTTAGGTTTGAATTAAAGCTCGCGTTTAATTAAGATCAATTCAACTTACTTATAAATATACATTGCATATGACGTATATAATGACATTTGTGTTTAAAAACCTAACAATGCAAAAAAATCGGTGCTCGAGTTTGACTAATTTTATTAAACAAAATTTAAAATTTCAGTTAAAATTATTTATTTAATAAATGAACAAATATGAATCATCCCCGAGTTTAATTTCATTCACTGTTCATTTCAATTGGTCTTCCCCAAAACTGTGGTCCTCCCTTTGAGAAATGTCACAACTGCTTGCATGTACGTACCATTTTTTTATCATTTGTGTTCTTTTTGAGAAAATATGGAATCCCATGTAAACTCCCCTCAACAGCACTAAGATTAAGGTACTTGATGGGCGTGGACTAAGACCTAACTCATGTGGTGGGTAGGCTCTATTTGAAAAAAAATCCACTTATACGAAATTCAATGGGTCTAATCTAAGAGAGATCGACACTTTGTCAAGTTCATCAAGGCTCTAAGTGCCACATCATCAAGGAGTAGACAACACTATCCCAATAGCTTCATTCATGCCACCTTGGAGTACAGACCACGCTATCTTAAGATTTGGTCTTGAGGAAAGCCCCGCAATAGTCTTATCTGTTGCGAAAATGATGTCATATTCACCAAATTTGTCTTTTAGTTATTAATAAGTCATTTGAATCTGTTATGAGACGACTATAAAATGTATGTCTCGTCTACACCTGGAGGGCATCTATCACATCTAGCATCTTGCTTCTAAACTCTCATTGCTCTCACTTGAGCTCTCCACACTCCTACAACAATAAAACACCTAAGCCATCCTAGTCCATCACAGTAGAGTAGTTTTCTTTGAACGAAGTATTTAAATTGTGTCTTGCTTATATTGAGTTTTTTCTCTCTATTTTATTATCTGCATTAATTACGTGATAGGTGGTGTGCAAAACTAATTTGTGCATCATCAGTTTGGTGCCGTCTGTGGGAATCATCAAAATTATAATCTAATCACTTTTCTTGCTGTACCCATGGCGATCACCATCAGATCCATGAATCAGCCCGAAAATAATCCATCACGTGAGGAAGAGACTACCCTTCACCAACTAATCCTGCTCCAAACACCCAGCAGATGCTGGAAACAATACAACAACTCGTAACTCAGAATCAGCAAATCCTGCAGCTAACGCTCGCCGGACAACAAAGAGGTATGCAACCGGGAGCACATCAAGCTAGATGAGCTCCTCGCCCCGAACGTCAAGGAGCTCCACCTCCTTCTCGAGTTCCCTCTTCCCACGGTGGAGATCCTCGTTTTCAGAAGATGTGGGCGAGAATCGAAATGTAGACCATGGGAGCCATTTTCATGACCCATCCAAAGGAGTCCCCAATCATTGAGACGAGAAAATCAAGAAAGTACAGAATCAACTGGGTGATGTCTTCAACGCCATGAAGGCTCAAGGACCAAAAACTATTAAGTATCTTATAAGGCGCATTGACATGCCTTTCGTAGCCAATGTGAAAAATTATCCACTTTTTCAGAAATTTAGAATGCCATCGGTGGAAGCGTTTGATGGTACAAAAAACCCACTAGGATCACCTCAACACCTATAAGTCTCTGATGCAGCTGCACAATGTTCCTGACGAATCATGTGCAGAGCCTTCCCAACTACCCTAAAGGGATCTGCTTGAGAATGGTTCATCAAGCTTACCCCAGCCTCCATAGGCTCTTTTGTCGAACTAAGAAGATCCTTTGTGGCACATTGCATTGGTGGATGCCGCCACTAGAAGCTTGCCACCAACCTGTTTAGCATAAAATAGGATCGAAAACAAGAGTCTGAGGAGCTACCTTACTCGTTTTAACGAGGAGATCCTATAGATTGAGGAACCTGATGATAAAGTCAGCATGACCACATTCCTGAGAGGCCTCCATTCGTCAAGCTTCCTCTTTTCAGTGATGAAGCGTCCACCAAAGAGCATGCCAGAACTATTGACAAATGCTCAAAAATATATGAATGCTGAGAGCATCAACAGGTCCAGGCGAGATGAATCATCTCACAGGTCTCCAAAACCTTGAACTATCTTTGTTCTACTCTCAAGTAGGCAGTCTATGCCTCAACTTAGCCGCATTCTCACAGGTCGCCAAAAGCTTGCCCTATCTCTGCTCTGCTCTCAAGCAGACAGCCTATGTCTCTAACTTAGCGGCTCTCTTACAGGTCGCCAAAAGCTCGGTCTAAAGAGGTGCAACTCTCTCATGTGAGCAGCTCCCAATCAACCTACCTCCAGCTTAACAACACTCTTACGAGTCGCCAGAAGCTCGATCTCAAGAGGTGCATCTCTCTCACGAGCAACCTCAAACTCTGTCTTTACTCTCACGCAAACAGCCTCTATTTCTCTACAAGTCGATGTATCTACCCCTCTTTTCAGGTAATCATGTTGGATATTTTGATATTTGAGTAACATTGTTTTTGTCATCTCTAGGCACTCAGATAGTCTGCAACCCACGAGACTACATTAAATGAATGTTAATAATCGGGTCTCATCCTTTTTGCAACCATCCAACATTATCACCTCGTTGCCCAACGCTCCCGCGCTTAATACTTAGTGCACACAAGGCTAGTTAGCCTTCCCAACATTAAGGATTTGGCACCTGCTTTTGGGTACTAGCTCTCCTACTCTTAACGCCCTCTCCTAGTGCCCAGATCTGTGCCTGCACGTATTCATGTGCCAACACCAACCATGGTGCCTCGAGCACGCACGACCGTGTTTAGGTTAGCTCCTGCACCCGCAAAGCTCTGTGCCTGGAAACCACCGTGCACGACACCATCTACGGGCTCCATCACCTACGCCCGTCGCCTAGCAGCACCCCTTCCTCACAATCAACAGGGCCGCCAACCCCTTGCGACCATGGTGCCTTGGCGCCTGGCTGGGCCACCTCACATTCGACGCCCAATTGGGTCACCTCGTGTACAACACCTGAGCTCGTCCCTCTGTATTTGACGCCCAAGTGTGCCAGCCTTGACATGCTCCGATCACCCTGTTCAATTGATAGTGCCCATGGCGCCTTTCCAGACGGAGCCTCACCCAACAACGCCACACCAAGTGGTATTTTCCTCGCCTCGCCTGGTGGCGCCCATGGCACCTCGCCCATCCTTAAGACCTGGTTCTACCTTTGGCGCCTCACCGTTGAAGCCTATGGAGCACCCAGACTCACTAGCACCAACTGCTTTGTCGACTCCAGCCTGTGTGCCAACTTCAATGCCTATTTTTTCGTCGTTGCCTATCTCCTCTCTGATGTCAATAACTTCTTGTGTCTCCTCTCCTTCATCCAACAAAGGTCTTTAGTCACCTAGCTCATGGCAAGGAATGTCTTATAGGGAAGAACCGTATCAAGAAGGAAAATGGGTCATCAGTCAAAAGGAGTCTTCGTCAGCCAAAGTCCAAATCCCGCTAAATGCCCTCTTCTCCAAGTTTTAGTGGACTCGGGGCATTGAGGGGCAAATGATAGGCTAGGACCAAGACCCAACTCAAGTTGTGGGCCCAACTTGAATAAATGATCAACCTATACGAAACTCAATAGGTCCAACCCAAAAGAGATCTACGCCTAGTCAGGCTCAACAAGGCTCCAAGTGCCAAATCATCAAGAAGAATACAATGTCATCCCAAAAGCCTCATCCACGCCACCTTGGAGTACGGACCATGCTATCCTAATACCTGGTCTTGAGGAGAGCCCTGCAACAGCTTCATTCGTTGCGAAGATGATGTCACCTTCACCAAATTAGTCTTTTAGTTATTGATAAGTCATTTCAATCTATTAGTAGGCGACTATAAAATGTATACCTTGCCTACACATGGGGGGCATCAATCACATCTGACATCTAGCTTCTGAGCTCTCCACACTCTTACAGTAATAAAACACCCAGGTCATCCTAGCTCTTCATAACGGAATAGATCACCTTGATCGAATCACTTAAATTGTGTTTTGTTTGTGTGGAGTTTTTTTTCTCTATTTTATTATTTACATTAATTACTTGACATGTGATGTGCAAAACCAATTTGTACATCATTAGTACCGAATAAAAAAATTTTGGTATCATATCACTAAATTTTACAAGTTTTATGGATTGATATACACGTTTTTATGTTTATTCATGATAAAAAGAAATTACAATTTTTGAGGTCATATTATAACTTTTGTGGGTTATTTAAATTTTTTTTTTTTTTTATTTTTGGTTCAACTGTCAATGGTGTCAGGGCTAACTTATGCACATCTCGACTAATCCCTTCTCTCATCTAATCAAATGCAAGCTATCCACGCTGGAACTAAAATATTCGTAAAGAATAATTTCCTTATAATCTAGTCTCAAAAGGTTGTCAAGAATTCAACTCAGGATGTTTGAGTTTACAATTCGTCCATGTTATCACTTATATACTTTGGGGTTTGTTGTTTACAACTTTTGAGGTTACTTGCAGTTATAGCTTTTGTTAGTTCTTTACAATTTTGGACAAAATTCAGTTTACTCCCTTGTAGTTTGGATATTTTGCACATGACCCCCCTATGATTTGAAAATCAGCACATTACCCCCTTATACTTTTAGACTAAAATGCTACTGTTAGTTTTTTCGTTAGATTAAACCATCTGTGACATACACGCACCCAACAGAAGGTTTGACGCAACAAAATGTGTTTCCCTCCAAAAATAGGCACAATAAAAGTACAATAATATCATTCCTCGATCTCCATCTTCCTGAGCAGTTGACTCTAAATTTTTCTCCAAACAATAATACCCTTCACCAACATCACCAATCCACCTTCAACAACCCGACTGGGCAACACCACTACCTCCATCATTCCTACTATGCAACAACTCAAATTGCCACAAACTCTGCACATTCCACTAAATTACCACCCTACTGTACACCACCACCATTGCCACCACTTTAAAGCCAAGTTCAATCAACCAAGTAAGACACCAGTAATAACATAGATCAACGAAGACCAAGAGGAAACAAAGGAAAACAAGGGATTCAGTTTATCCCTGGGACACTGAATTACAAAGAGAATTTCCTCTCACGAATTTCGACGAGTTGCTTCCTAGAATCCTTGCTTCGATTAGGGTGATTGGAGGTTTGAGTTTGTGCTCTGTAAATGAGTAGTATGGTCGTGACTGTGATGGTTGCCTAGATGGCTGTGATTGTTGCCCTGGTGACAGTGATAATTGGGGGAAAATGGATCGTTGATTTATTAGTTATAAAGAAAGACACAGAGAGATAGAGAGAGAATTGCCAATAATGGCAGAAGGGTGGTGAGAGAAAGGGACAATGAGGTTGTTGCTTAGAGAATGAGAGAGGAGAGAGAGGGTTACTGATGGAGAGAGATGATGAAGAAACGAGGGGGGGGGGGCAGTGGCATTGCTGGGTCAAAGAGACAGAGTGAGAGAGAGGCAATATTCATCAGAAAATTACCAGCGCCACCGCCTACGGAGCAGCTGCTGGTGATGCCAACTCCACACGGAAAATATTTTTGGCGAAGATTTGGGTGGTCTCATTTCATTTCTCTCTCTTTCTTCAAGAATTTTGAGTTTTTGAGTGTTGGAAAACTCAGGAATCAAAGGAGGGTTTCAATGGGTAAAAAATCTGAGCATTGGGGATTGGAGAAAGGGTGCTTGGTTTTTCACTACTCTCAGTTGTTTGTTAGAAAAAAAGAGAGAGAGAGAGATAAGATCAAGCAAATACATTTTTTTTTAATTATAAAATAGTTAAACAAATTTTTATAGTCTGGTTCTGGAATCAAACAACATGTACATGTAACTTTATATGGTTTTACTTTGTTAATTTTTAGTATTATATTTTAATTTTTTATTAATTAAAACAAAATAAAAAAATTAATAATTTTTTTTGTTAAATAGATTGATTAGATCATTTATAATATTATTTTATTAGAGCATGCTAAAAAATAAACTATAACATATTTGACCATAAAATTCAATCAAACCTTATACATGTTATTTTTTCATATAGATATAGAAGATTATATGTAACTATACTACTAATACATAAGTTCAAAAGAATTTAGAAATCCTTATAAAAGAGTTCAAATAAAATTGGAAGTCAAATAAGAGTAAAAAAACAAAAATGAGATGAAAGTATATATGTGGGCATAGTTGACTTTATTATAATAATTAAAGGTAAAATAAAAAATTAATTTTTTTTTCTAAATACTGACATTTATAAGTATCAAACTCTTCTTCCAGAAAATTAAAAATCAAGTTGAACAAGACTTGTTGTAGTATGTGGCATCAGAATTTTTAATCAATACATAACATGTGGCCTATTTTGAGGTTTAATGGTTGAGATTTTGAGGGTATTAAAGTCATTTTATCACTTATGTTAACGGTGTTAATTGTGCATATCGGTCCAAAAGCACAAGGGGGTAATATGTTAATTTTCAAATCATAAGAGAGTCATGTGTAAAATATCCAAATCACAAGAGGGTAAACTGAATTTTGCCCTCCAATTTTTGAGGTTCATCTGTGATCAGTCCTAAAATTGATCGGAAATGATCCTTAAAAGTTATGAATAATTCTCAAATCTTGTAAATAATACTTAAAAATTGTAAAAATAAATCACAAAACTTAAAAGTGAGAGAATTGAACAAGGCAATGTGGTCAAGATTTTTGGTCATTCAAGATTGGGGTACAAAGGGAAGTGCCGTTTCATAATCAATTCATAAAAAAAGGTTTGAATTAGAAATTAATAGTGATTACGCGCTCGTGAACGGATCCAAGGGGCGGCAAAAGTATATTTTATTGGGACTGCTCTTGTAAACTATAAGGAAAAAAAAAATTAGAGGAGAGCGAGACGATATAGTTTAAAAGTATTCAAATTAAAAATACTATATAAAAAAAAACTGAGATTTTTGGAATTTTGAAAGGACAATCAGTGCCCCATGTGATCCATCTTTATTTATGGTTGATTGCTTATTTTCTAGGATAAATGTAAAAAATGATTATTTTTGTCTTTTGGGAATTTTTTCAAAGCGAGGAAAAATTGTATAATTGCCTATAACATAATTCAATCGTCATCGACGTTTATGTATAGTTCAAATGGTTGAGTATGAACTCTGGTAATTCAAAATTGTGAAGTTCAACATTTTTTTTATATTCAGGGAAACAAGTCAATCACTATCCATGAGCAGCTTCTTCAAGATTGCACTTGTGACAACCGAAATATACTTCATTTTTTTTTCTAACAATAAGAATATTTAGACCAACTTGCTCGCATATTGATTAATCTTCTCTTCGATCCGTCCGGTAAAAGATGGACCATTCACATAGAGATTAAAATATTTAAATAAATTTTATTGTTTGATCCCAAAAAATTTTCAAAATTCAAATTCAAAATATTTGAATTTATAACTCATATTTGTTAACATTTAGACTATCTTTAGAGTTCGGAAACATACTTCAAAGTGTTGCGAGCTTTTGAAGTTCCATAGGAATTAATTATTATTGCTTTCCTACAAATCAATATTAATTTATATATATAATAAAACACATAACATTTTTAAATTTTTATTCTTTACATATTTTCTCGCTTATTTTTATCACATCATCTATTTCTATTACAAGTTAAATCATTTAATTTTTGTTTAATTTTGTAATTTTTTTTTATAAAATAATGAGTAAAAATTAATTTCGAATCACATAAATAGAAAGAAAAATTAAAAAAAAAAATTATTATTTAATATAGTGATATCGATTTTATAGGCAATTTATTATTTACATTGTGGCTTTATTTATGTACATAAGTTAATGACTCGTGGTTATTGACTAAACATGTGTTTTAAACACAAGTTAATGAGTCATGGTTAATGACAAATTCAAATTTAATACTTTTGACGAGATGTGATTATACAATCAAGTCTTCGCTTTAAATCACTTCGTCAAACGTAGACGAAATCAAAAGTGATTTTTGTTTTGCTTTGTCCGTTTCTCAAATTCGAAGTCAAAAATCATTTGGAGTCAATTTTTGTGGGTTGTTTATCACGGTTTAATCAAGTTTTGGTAGATTTGTGGGTCAAAAAGCGAAATTTATATCACATATAAGGTGGATTTGATTTTGATTTGAATCTAAGTTTGATTAGTCGGGTATAAATTAATATTTTTTTTACTGATAACCCAAATCCAAATTTGAATTACTGGATATGAATTGATTTTTTTTACCAATAACTTGAATTCGATATCTTTTATTTCATAAATTTAGATTTAAATATATTTATATCTGATCTGATTATGATCCGATTAAAATTATTTTATATATTTATATAAAATTTTAAAATCAAGTGATTATTTAAAAAAATTTAGATATAATTTATTAAAATTTTTTTTATTAAATTATTCAAATTAAATTGAATTAAAATTTTAAATTCTAATATAAATTATAAAAATAAAATTTATCGAATTATCGGATAACGAGGGCGGTGGGGGTGGTATGTTATGAATGCCGGGAAATATTGAGTGGTCTTCAGCTGGAATCCAGCATTACATGGCTGAAGCGGATTTCTGTAGATTTCAGTGGGACTGTTCCGTGGCAGAGTGTATGGCATATTTGCAATACAATAACTAGGCCATGTGTTTAAAGCAGTTTCCTGTCTATTCTCGTTGGTTCTCGATCCAAATCCTCTCTAATGTATATATTTTTTAATTTTATTTTTTAACAAATTATTTTATTTTATTTTATTTTTTTTATCAGATTTAACAAATTATTTTCACTTCCTTGGATAACGATGCAAGTGAGATTAAAAAAAAAAAAAGAAAAAAAACACATAAATGTGAACACAAACGTTATGGAAAAACTGGGCACTCAAACAATAATCCAATAAACATGATTAAAGTAAACAATAAAGACAATAACACAATAACAAGGAATGAGGGGAGACTTTGGTTTTTACCCCAACTTTCAATCAAACTTTTCTTCACCAAATTAGGGTCAATTACACTACATATCCCTTAAGTATAAAATTTATTTTATTTTAGTTTTTAATATTTTATTATATTATTTTTAATTTTTGAAGTATTGAATATATTCCTATGTGATCTCTCAAACACACAACATCTAAATTGCTAATAATTTTTTATCATAAACTTATTATGTGATGCCTAAAAATGTGCAATATGGGTAACTCTTGACCAAAATTTGGATAGCTCTTGATCAAAATTATATAATTTGGGTAGTTCTTTAACTAAAATTTGAGTAAAATTTTGGTTAAGAGTTATCCAAATTATTTTTTTGTCAATATTTTAGGTATTATGTGATAAATTTATAATAAAAAAATCGTTAACAATCTTTAACCCTATTTGATTAAAGAACCACATAAAAATATATTCAATATTTTAAAAACTAAAATAATACTCACTCCGTTTCTAAATATTTGTCGTTTTAACCAATTTTTTTTATTCCATAATATGTGTCGTTTAATGAAACCAAAACATTATTAATATTTTTTCTTCCAAATTTACCCTTAACTTTTCAATGCATTAGATTAGGTGGAAGTTAAGTGCCTTTCATATTCATTTCTTTACCACTACGTATTGAATAAGTGTATTTTAATGTTGTGCAATTATTTTTCACTCATATTAGAGCTATTTAATAACTTTCTTAATCTTTGTGTAAAAATCTTAAACGACATATATTTAGGAACGGAGAGAATATAATTAAAATATGAAAAATCAAAATGAGATAAATTTTATACTTTAGGGATTTTTAATGTAATTAACCCCCAAATTATAACAATTTACACTTTGAGGGGCCTATGTGGAGCCCATTGTCAACCCATTTGCTTTGCTGGCTTTCAGCCATCGATTTTGTTGGTTTGTCTGCCCGGAAAGACTACGGAAAGAGAAAGCGAGGAGAGAGAAACAAGAGTTTTTCTTCAGTTCGTTTAATATCAGTCCAATTGAGAAAATTCGTTCTCCATCTTCTTCTTCCTCGTCTCTCTCTCTCTCTGTTCATCAGCCACAACCAGAAAAACAAGAGGAGAGAGAAAAACAAAAACACTCACAAACAGAAATCCTCCATATATATATATATATACCTATGGAGGTGATTTGATGGATCTACAGATCTAACTCGCTTTCATAATCAAATGGATTGCTTTATGTCTTTCTGATCTCCGGCCTTCCCCTTTGTGTGGTTCAATAACTGACCAGAAACCATAACAGAAAGGCCTAATCATATTGTAAGTATTATATCTTCATTGTATTTAGAAGAAGAATACCTGTGAGGTTTATGTGATTGCTGGTGTTCTAGAATTTTGTAGCTGTGTTTGAGCGTTAAATTTTTCTTGGTATTGGTAGGTCTGACCAAACAATTGTCTGATTATAGTGTGGACTGTGATGGTAGATTTGACTCTTGTTTCTTGCACAATAAGCTGTCGTCTTTGCTACGTCTTCAATTTTTTTAGAAATCGTTAGGATATGGGTCATGGTTCTGTTCTTTTTAAGGTGAAATAGATGTGGGTTTTAGATTTTATATATATTTAGTTGAATTTACTAGGAAAGCTATTATCTGTCACCGGTTCATTGATTGTACTGTCTATTTTGTTGTGGTGATGGTTTTCATAATTGCGCTTTGATTAGTATTCTTTTCTTGTTATAGTTCTGTCTTTGGTCTGTAAGGAAAGAGGCTGGTGGGAGGATTTTAGTTGGAGTGCTCCTTGCATCCATTTTGGATGTTGAGAAATTGAAGGTAATCCGGGGTGAGATGAGGGATGTTATCAAGGTTGATAAATTATTTGAAGGCCTGTTGGTGTCAGTCATCGGAGCGATACGTGCACTCTGGTTCAGACACTGCCGGCCGGCAAGATGGGCTTCTTTGGTATAAGGACAGTGGACAGCACTTGCTTGGTGAATTCTCGATGGCTGTTGTCCAGGCTAACAATTTGCTCGAGGATCAAAGCCAGGTTGAGTCTGGTTCCTTGAGCTTGCTTGATTCTGGCCCATATGGAACCTTTGTTGGTGTATACGATGGTCATGGTGGGCCTGAGACTTCCCGCTACATCAATAACCATCTTTTTCAGCATCTCAAGAGTAAGTGGGATTCTCCGGAGCATGATTAAGTCTTTAATAGCAGGCTGTTGTGTAGTTTACTTTCAGTTCAACCTGTTATTAGGATTAGGAAGCTAGCTGTGGCATAGAATTCATGTCATACTTTGTGGCTGTGTTTGGAATACGTAACTAACACAGTTTCAATACCTATGTGGTTGCAATTGGCATATTGCAGGATTCACCTCAGAGCAAGAGGCTATGTCAGTGGATGTGATTCGAAAAGCATTTCAAGCAACAGAAGAGGGATTTCTATCTATTGTTACTAAACAGTGGCCAATGAACCCCCAGATGGCTGCTGTTGGTTCTTGTTGCCTAGTTGGTGTGATCTGTGGAGGGACCCTTTACATCGCCAATCTTGGTGATTCCCGTGCTGTTTTGGGGAGACTTGTCAAGGCAACTGGGGAGGTCCTTGCGATACAGTTGTCAACAGAGCATAATGTGAGCATAGAGTCTGTCAGACAGGAGTTGCATTCTTTGCATCCGGATGACTCGCAGATAGTAGTCTTAAAGCATAATGTATGGCGTGTAAGGGGCCTGATACAGGTGAGCTCTTTGATTGACTGCATCAAAAATTTTGATTGAAGTTGATTTGCTTAAATATGTTTTAGTTGAACTAGAACCTGCTTACTTTCCTCGGGTGGACCAACCTCCAACTGACGGAGGGCAGCGCTGATTATTCTAATCTCTTGTTATTTCTCTTCCAGACCAGAAAAAACCTTGTCAGTATGATATTTCTAAGAATACAATACATTCAGTAGTTTACTGTCGTTGCACTCCTCTGACTTCCATTATCTTGTTTATCATCATGAAAAGAGTAGTTATGCATCATGTTTTATGCTAAGTGGTTTCTATGATTGTTTAGGGGGATTTTGAGCTCTGGCATTCATGTTAAGTAGATGTTTTGATAAGTTTAGCATGCTATCTGTTCAATTGAAAGTTGGAAGCGAAGCTGCGGGCTTTTAATATTTGACTTTGTTGTTTTCGTTTCTGCACCCTTTCTTATCTTTTTGCTTTTTAGCTTGAAGAAATAGATAAATGCACCAACTATTTTTCTGTATCATTTAAAGCTTCTAATGACAGTGATATCTTATCTTATATAAACTATTGATGCAGCAGTCACAAAGGAAAAGAATTGAAGAGAGAAAGGAAGAAGCAGAAAGAAGAGCCTGAGAGTTGAGAGACAACATATATTCGACTCAATGCTATGATATCAATCAATATAGATGTTTCCCATTCACAATAAGCCTAGTATTTATTGGTTTCTCTGAAAATTTTCAATATGGAAATAAAAATTAAATCCTGAAATTAAAGGGATTACCTGATTCAAATCCTTAATAGAATTAGTTCTGAGTCTTACGCTTTTGTCTCAAATTGGTGAAATCTCTGCCTTGGTTATCATGCAATCCCCTTAAACTGTGTCATTGGATCCTGGGTTGAAGGGAAAGAGTTCCAACAACTGGTTGTCCTACTTAGGTTGTCTAGCTTGCTTGGGGTTTTGTTTGGGTGTAAAGGCAGTTTGCTGTTGATTCCATATGGAAAGGATAGGTTTTAGGTAGTTGATTTTTCTTTTCGATTCCTCGTCTCTTCATCATCATCATCATCATCATCTTCTTCTTTTTCCACTACTCCTCCTTTTTTCAAAATTAGAGCATCAAAGTTTAAGAGCGCACAATTGCCGGCCACTAGTGCTGTAAACTCTACATGGATAAGTAGGTTTCATCTTATCATGAGTGAATTATGTATGATTTCTAGTGTTGTGCTCTACTCCTATAGTTCTCCCTTGTGCTCGTAGTTTTCTTCTTTACTATTGGAATGAGCATATGCATATGTGCGCATCCTGTATATTTTGGATGCGATATGCCTTTTAAGTGGATACCCTTAATTAGGGTAAATCTAACTTTTTCTGTGGAGAGATACTCTAGAACAAAAAGTTTTGCATCGGTTGAATAAAAGAAATACTTGAGATCGAGATGCAATTTTGAGTGAGGTAATAGCAAAATTCATGGCTGCTGCAAGATACTCAAAAAATGATTGTTATTCTTAGATCAATCATCTTGGAGTGTTGCATCAGAAAAGGTGTTCCTTAGGGAAGCTACTCTACTCTCTTGGTCACTGGCAACAAAGGCCCAGTTGCATATTGTGTCATTTCTTTGCACTTGCCTTACTCTCTCACTTACTCTTCTTAGTGGTGGATACAATGTTTTCAGTGCATGCCACACTATAGAGTAGAACCTCCAAGTTTCTAACCCATCATGTCCATTACATTTTGTTACAACTGCATGAATTTGGAAATCCTACGTTTGTGTTAGTTTTTCAGCCACTTGGTACGGGAATGCCCACTTTACAGTGTTCAAATGCTAGACTTACAGAAATGTTTATTCCTAAATGGCAGGACATGATTATGGTGACATCGATGTGTCTTTTCTTATTTGTCGGAATTTGTGTTGCAGATTTCTAGATCCATTGGTGATGTGTACCTTAAAAAACCTGAATTCAACAGAGAGCCTTTGTATGCAAAGTTTCGCCTTCGTGAACCATTTACAAGGCCCATCTTGAGCGCTGAACCATCCATTTCTGTGCATGAAGTCCAGCCACATGATCAGTTCCTCATATTTGCTTCTGATGGCCTTTGGGAGCATCTTAGCAATCAGGAAGCTGTTGATATTGTACAGAATCACCCTCACAATGTAAGATATTTATCTCGCTGAATATGGCTTCTAATTTAGTTGATATGGTTTTTAACTATTTCCGTCAATTGGAATTTGAAGTTACTGATAAGATTTCGTGGGACTTGAAGGGTGATCTTCCTGAATTATTGGTATCATTTAACCTCAAATGAATTTTGTCTGTTAGGTTGACTGGTAGCCATCATTCTAGGTCTCTACATTCGTCGTGTTAAATGTGCCAATAACTATTGCATTAGTGCTAATACAATATATTTCATACATGAATTTTATGTACTGTTAATTCTATATGCTTCTGTTAAGTGATTTTTTAATTTCTTTGTCCTGATATTAAAGATATATGTTTTTGGTTCTCACAATTTTATTTTATTGAAGCAATCATAACTAATAAATCTATTTTGGCATAACACACATGTTTGACCTACAATATAAATAATGATTTACTTATTTTTCTAACATCTGGATCGAGTAGAATTTTTTGTTTTTTTCAGTGGGAGCCTTTACCTGGTGGTTTGGATTGAAAGAAAAGGTGATAGACTTGGATTTCTGGTTCACAAGTTATGCTTTTGATCTGAACACGCTTAATATGAAGTTATAGTGTGTGCCACGAAAGAGAACTGTGCGAATTTAACAGGAGTGTAAAACCATGCTCTTACATACTTTTTTTTTTGATATTGGACACCTATAGACCTAAAGTTATGGGATTGCAAGATCATATTAAGAACATGTAGAAGGAGATAGTGAAGAACAGAAGGCATTTATCTGACTTTTTGTTCATGCAGGGAAGTGCTCGGAGACTTGTCAAAGCTGCCTTGCAGGAAGCAGCAAAGAAGAGAGAGATGAGGTACTCTGATCTGAAGAAGATTGATCGTGGGGTTAGGCGCCATTTTCATGACGACATCACAGTCATAGTTGTATTTCTAGATTCCTGGCTTGTGAGTAGAGCCAGCTCACTGAAAGGGCCGACTTTGTCCATTAGAGGGGGTGGTGTCAACCTCCCTGCAAAAACTTTAGCTCCTTGCCCTACAGCCACTTGAGTTCTTCCTCTATTGTATCCTTTGCAGTTTTCTTCTTGGAACTTCTTGTGACACTGGTGGTGATTCAAGAGAGAGGATGGAAGGTGCGCCCTAATTAATTCTTTTGATGTACAATGTAAAATTTAACTCGGAGCCAAAAGGAGGAAAAAAAAACTGAAAACATGAGGGAAGGGAGCTTTAAAGTGTATGTAGAGATTGTTTCTTGAGGACAATCTTTTCTAGTTGGCTATTTTCCCTTCCTTTTCCCTCCTTTTGGAGTTTGTTGTTTTATAAATGGTGTAATACTTGATCCCTGAAATCAGAATTTTCTCTCCCTCTTGTTGCTCTCCTCTTTTGCTGATGATATTTACAACAATATTTATTGCATGCTTGGTGGGAGAACTCAGCTTTCAAATGTTAGGGGAGGTTATTGCTTAGGATCAATTTTTTTTTTGTTTCGACTGAAATGTCATGGTTTTGCTGGATGTCAAAACCAAACAGTGGTGGAGGATCGAAATTTCAATGTTTTGGGATAATTCAAAACATTTCGGAAGGTTTAGTCCAATGTATTGCAAGGTCTCATAATCAAAATTTTAATTCCAAAACTTTTTCACAGTAATTTTGTTTTCAATGCGACAAAACTTATTCACCAAAACGAAATTTCAATATTTTGTATTGCTTCAATCAAATTTTATGGAGAATTGCAAAGATTACAGATTTCTGAAAGCAATTAAAGTTCAGGATACACCTATGACCTACCAGTGTGTGTGACAGAGTTGCATTAGTTGCTGTAGTGTAGATGGCAAAATTCCGCACAAAGAGTCACCATCTCGTACGAATGGAAATAAAGAAGCCTTGTATAACTTGTAAGACCAAAGAAGCCTTGTATAACTTGCAAGACCAGAGATACTTATGTGAACCAATGGCCGAAGGCCAAGTTGAAGAACAAGATGGAGTGAATAGGTTAAGATTGAATGAATTACTTGATACTCAGAAACCTTTATTTATAGCAATGGGGAGATGTGTCTCAAAGAAACTTGAACTCTAGATTGATTAGCTCAACCTTGTCACCAGGTCTTAGAAGTACATGATAGAGTTAGATTAGGATTCTTGATGCTAGATCCTTATCACCAACTTCTGATTGTTTGGAATAACATTTTACTTGGACTCTCACTATTTGGTGTTTCATCACCAGCTTCTAAGTGTTCAGAGTGGTATTAAATTAAGACTCATATTTCTAAGTTATACCTTCGTTGAGTAGGACGCGTCTAAACAAAGTGGGCACAATGTGGACTTGTAGGAGCTTGATCAAGGACAAGGTGGCTTGACTCCTAGAGGCTCCGGGTGAGGGGTGCCGACCCGAAGGAACCCACAAGGGTGTGCTCTACCGGCTACCGGCAGCAATCAATAATCAGACTATAACTCTACAGACTTTTATTGGTCAATGGATCACATAGCGATTAGTAATATCATAAAATGGCTAAAATGTCAATATTGTCATACCCTCTGCAAGAAAGGTAAATAGTAAGTAGCATTATCGTTATTTTGGAGAGAGACTAATTTCCGAATTTAAACTCGTGATTCATCACTTAGGTGGAAGAGTACTTGCGATCATTCCAAAGTATGACTTGATAGATTTGAATTGTGTTAGGATACAAGTATTTGAAGCTCCTCAATCACTGGACTAAGTAGCTATGCACTCATTTTAATACCAAAAAAAAAAAAAAAACAATTAACATACATCACACATATTCACAATTTATAGAACAAATCTCGGTTTAATCGCGAGGAATGCTGAAATCCTCATCTACACTGATACTCGTTTCTTCCATTATTCCTCTCAAGTTGCTCTTATCAGCGTCGATGCTAATGCTATTAGTCTCTAAACACCTCAAACTTGCGCTTTGAAAAGAGAGGCTATCCATCTCAACATGAAATCTCTGTAGTCCAATACCATCTATGCTGACAGAGTTCTGGGAATAATCCTGATCCACTGATCGGTAACTCCCACGATCTGTGGATTGACTGGAGACACCAACTGATCTCCGGGCACTCTTTGATGGTTGGTTGTTTATGAAGTTGTCTGATGAATGGAGAGCTGCCTCTAACTCTTGCCACACTTGAGTCATTGTAGGCCTTTGTTTGGGAACCTTCACCACACATCTTAGGCCAAGAAGTCCCATCTTTAGCATCATTTCCATGTTGCAGGGCTCTAATAGAAGACTAGCATCTAGGATTTCATCAACATTCCCTCTCTCCAAGCTTGGCCTGGACTACAATTTAATATTGAAAAGAGGTTCAAAATACTGATGCAATAATATGTTGACTTGCCCTGTCAACGAGTTGAATTGATTCCGATGAAAAAAAAGCCCGAGTCAAATTCGACCCAAATATTCGATAGATATTATTTTCATAGATCATACTCAAATCTGGTCAACAAACGGATTCTAGAATCCAAAATCTGAATCCATGGAACATCGTATAATGGATTCAAGTTTGGATTATTGATAAAAAATATCAATTCTTATCCGACTAATTAGATCCGGATTCTGATCAAGATTAGATACCCTAAGATGCCTGATGTTGATTGAATAAAGTGGACTGAGTCAACAAATTGGATAAGTAGACAGCATACTTTGTAGATCACCACCACCACCTCAGTCCATGTTGATGTAAACAAGGACCTTTGAAATGCAATGCAAATGCAAAACAAAATCAATGAGATGCTGAAATGTTTTCTGGCTTTTCACTTACCCATTCAATAATATGATAATTAGAATGGCTTCTAGAGGTATCAACAGCAGGTCGACCAGCAACAAGTTGTAGAAGTATGACTCCAAAGCTGTAAACATCACTGAATGGAGACAAATGAAAACTTGAGCAATAGGCTGGGTCAAGATACCCTGGTGTCCCTTTTATCTGGCTACTAACATGAGATTGATCCCCTATGGGACCTGATTTCACCAGCCCGAAATCTGAAACCTTGGCCTCGAACCCCTCTCCGATCAAGATGTTACTTGGTTTTATATCCCTGTGGATTATACTTGGGGTGATTCCTTCATGAAGATGAGCTATGCCTGGAGCATAAAATTCCATATGAAAAACATATATTTTAGTAACGTTACTCAGAGGATCTTCCTTCTGATTTTTACTAGTCAATGGCAATATTGACTAAGCAAGAAACCTACCTTTAGCTGCTCTAATGGCTATGTTTACTCTTTGCCTCCAAGTTAAGCTCCTCCCTCCCCTTCCTAGAACGGCGATGATCAGAAATTAATACAACAAATCATGAAGCATTAGGGGAAAAATTTAACAAAAATGAAATTTACCCATGATGTAGTCAAGCAGTGAGCCATTTGGAACATACTCGTAAACCAGTACTTTAGCTCCTTTTTGTCCTGTGGAAAGCATATCCAATGACTAAGAGGGTTTTTCCATAATTTTTGTGCAGAAAATAGGTTGGTGATCACAAAAATAGTTATATGCACATATGCCTTTATATGGCTATAATCAACATGCAGTTATTAATATCATCGGTATTAGTATACGCTGTACACTCTGGTTTAATTTGTGCTTGCACACCATTTTCCTCATTGCATCGCGATATTGTTATTACTAGTCTAGATTTAAAACAGTTTACTGATTGGAAGGGTATTGTTTTACATACCAGGTTGTTCACAGAATCCCACCAGACCTACAAGGTTCCTATGCTTCACTTTTGAAAGTAACCTGACCTCTGTTTCAAATTAGCTTCATCCAAGTCAATTACTCAAAAACATATACTTGATAAAAACTCAATGGCCTGTGCAGAAAGCAAGTTGTTGAGGCGTACCATTTCTAAATTCTTCGGTGCTTGTGTATGAATCAGCATTGGCCTTCTTGATTGCTAGTGTTCCCTCTACATCAAACTTTCCTTGGTAGACATCTCCAAAAGCACCAGACCCAACCCAGCAATCTTTGCTGAAATTATTGGTGGCCTTCTCTAGTTCTTCCAACTGGAATTGCCTCAACCTCTTTTTCTCAGCATTTAAATTTCCTAATTTTCCCATGAAATTTGATCAGTCTTTTGAATACATATGATCATTACAGCCTTTAAATTTGGTCAGCACTTGAATAACATGAATATACAGAACTAAAAACCGACAGATAACAGCGCGCGAAAGGAGAAATTAAACGCATTTTGTTTCAACTTCACCATAAATAATTTCAGTTGTCAAGTGCACATGATCAGGTTTTTTTTTTTGTAAAAATGATATTTGGATATACAATGTAATTCAAGACATGTCCGGTGGCTTCCCATGAAAAGACTCACAAAAAAAATATGCAAGGGAAATCTAATTTAGAAGATAATGCTCTTGTAACACAAGAGATTAGGTAACTACTAATCTCCCAGCAAGAGACTAACCTTTTTGATTCCGACGCAGCCTGCAATTAGCATAGAGCTTCCTCTTGAAACAGAAAAATAACAAGCCACCAAAGAAGACCGTTACGATGCCAATCAAAAGCCAACCCCATATATGACCAAGAACAAAGCCTCCACTTTTCATCTTCGAAGGCGCTAATGCCGGTGAACCCGCTTGTTTACTTGCCATTGTAACTTAGAATTTCCCAAGCTCAAAAAAATTACGTTTGAAACAACTATAATCCTCACCTCATTCTCTTTCTTTCCACAACCATTATGCTAGCCTTTCACTGCTTCCCCCTTTTTGCATGAAATCACATGATTGAAGACAGAGAGAGAAGGGGGAGAGAAAGGAATATAGGGTGGTATATAATGTCAAGTGACAAAGTTGCCGGCTATCATGTGTATGTTCAAATGTCACACTCTCTTGCTACTTGTACTATCTTGGTGACTTGGTCTTCACTGCGGGCGGCACATATGGCCAAGCTAATATACAAAACATGAATTCTCCATCCGGAAAATTCGCTCACCATAGAAATTATGTCTTATATTCCTCTCTAATTCATAAGAGCGTATGATTCCGGACCTTGTTTTTAAATTGGTGTGGTTATAAGTGTTATAAATTCGGGTTAGTTTAATTTGTCTTTTGTCTTTTGTTTTTTTTTCGTTTGAAATAATTATTTTTAAGAGTTAATTGTGCTGGAGGTCCTTAAAGTA